AAAGAGTTCTATAATAAATCATAATTTATTGCATGTTTTGCAACCTTGTCAAAGGGCACACCTAAGATTTTTGCTTCAGTAATAAATTCCACCCAACTGCATACAGGAATTCGCTTGACAATCTGGACACAGCTAAAATATTTTGGTATTTTTTAACGTCAGCACTTTTAATCTAGCACCAAGAACCCAACTACTCATCCAGTTTACACAACACCCCATTTACTTTCTTCTAAATTGAATTATGCTTAAAAATAAACAGGAGATTTCAAAGTAATTCTCCAATGACAATCACCAGTGAGCAAAAAACCCCAAGGCTGTTGGACAAGGACCCCTATTCCCAACAACTGCTTCTCATTCTCTCTTTTCACTTGTTTATTGCCCCTTTGGGAATGTTTATCTCTGAATAGGAATAAAGCAACAGCATGTTGTGATCTACCTCAGCAATACTTCTTACACCTAAATTGCTCATGAGGCTGGTCATATGTTCCTGCCTATTATCTGTAAAAAAACCAACAGAAACAAAACTTCTGAACAGCCTATGGAGTGAGCTAAGCCTTCCATATTCTTATAGACAGCAACCAATTGGCAAACTCCATTCATTTTTAAGCAAATATTTGTGAAGATGAATGGTTATTGCCAGGGTGCTTCAAATTTTTCTGAGAGGTTTTTTTTTTTATTAGTGATTAATCAAAAATAGGTAGAGAATAACAAAATCATTACAGCTTTAATTTCAGCATTATAAGACTCACCATTTGTATGAAGTATAATATCTTAAAATTCCATCTCAGTATGCCAGGAAGTGAAGGACTTTTTAGGATTAGTGGTGGCATTTCTGTTTTCCTTTCTAAAACCACTGTTCAGGGTGAAAGGGAATTAATTTTATGATATAAGCAGAAAGTTTCAAAAAATAATTGCTGCTTTGCTATGAAGTTCACCATCTTGTTATACTCTGAATATACCTGGACAGATGCTTGAGATAGGTCAGTTTATTTCTCTCGTAGGAAACTCTTCCAAACACAATGAACAAACCACTGCCTTTAAAATACTTAAATCACCGTATTTCTCTGCCAACAAATGCTATGTCTGTTTGTAGTTATAAGAAAACCTAAAATCCCAAGCAATATGACTTAAAGAAAAGTGCTTATGCTACTGGCCAAAGAACCCACACCAGTGATGGTTAAAAAATTGTTTAGGAGCATTAGATTCAAGTACTAACATTTTTTACGAATTGTCCATGATGCTATTGTTGTAAGCCTGACCTCAATTTGAAATGCTAAATATGCAAAGTGCAAAATTAAATAGTGCAAAGATTTTTTTTTTGTTCACGTGTTTTTTTCTTGTCATTATTTTTTCTTTTCTGTTTAATGCTGTTTCCTACTCATATTAGCAAAGTAACTGAAATTAACTTGGCTGCATTACAAATAAATCTTACCCGCATACCACTTAATTAAAAATCTGCACGTGTACTATTATAGTTGGAGTAACCAATTAATATGTATGAACTGCTAAGACTGAAAAACCCTTATTTCTCTAACCTTGCTTTCACAGACAACTGTCTGAAACCCACACCTTCAAAACTGAAAATTTCAGTATTCGCTGTCTCTCAGTGTTTCAGGCTTGAAAACTCAAAAGAAAATCCCTTCTAGGTTTTTAACTTAATGACCTAAGTTTTGAAGGGGAAAGAACTCTTTCCATTAGCCATATATTTAAAAAAAAAAAAAAAAAGTTATTTTGAGAGTGTCCACGACTCTCAAGGTCTTAAAGTCCTTCTAAGGATTTATATTCAGCTTTGTATAACATTAGAAATTGTGTGTCAGTAGCGAAGCTATGTATGTTTATCATCTATAGATTTTTGGCAGACACAAGGAAACTTCTTTTAGTACAGATTCCTGTGTCCTATTCTTTGACCACCTGCAGCTCAATAAGCTCAGTTCTGCCCCAAGTTTCCCACAGACATCACAGTGTGTTCAGGTCTCCTGTCTCTCAAGCCTTTCCACATTACCTTGAATTCCCTTCTGTATTTCCTGCTCAGTACCCCCAAGTCGCTCGGATGTTTGCTGCTAGCTGGGCAATGGCTTTTGCTAGACAACAGGCTCTCCTGGTAAGTACGTGCAGACTGCAGTAGACAATGATTAAAGTTTGGATTTCCCCCTTTCCCTCAGCAGACGTATTAACAGAGTATTTGTCCTCTGAATGGCAGTCCTCTCTGAAACTTGGAGAACTTAACCTTTCCAAAGCAAAAAAAAAAATTATTTAGAAAGCTGTAAAAGCCAAATTTTTGGATAAACAACATATATTGTTTCTAAAAATCACTCTAACATGGAAATTACAGAAGATGATACAAAGATAGATAACAAAAGCTTAAGGAATGGGGCAGTTAATGAGGGCAGAAAACCACAAGAAAGGAGGACAACAACCTACGCACTTTTTATTTGTGTGCTGGTCCTATCTGCTCGTCAGAAAGCATGGTTTTAAAAGTACTTTTTTAAAAACATGCATGCGATTTTGATTTGTTCTTAACTAGGTTTTGTATAAACCAGAGAAGATTTGAAACCAGAAACCTAGAGCTGAGCTCAATGTTTTATTACACTCATTCAAGTCACTCCCATCACTGCCTCTTCTAAGAAAAAAGGTCAGAGTACTTACTGGTGAAGCGGATAGACAGATAACGGGGCCAGGAACGGTATGAACACTAATATATTACAGTCCTACTATTTTCTGTGGCATGTAAGTAATTGAGGAACTACATACTGATCAGAAATGCAAATTATGCAGAGATGTAATGTCATCATCAAGTCACCAGATTTCTAAATCATCAGCCTCACTTCATTGGTGTAAATGGCAGTGGTGCCTGTGAGAATCCATATGTACAACATTTACAAATTGGCTTCTGCTGATTTATGTCAGATAAAGGATCTTATCTCAGTGATTTGCAAATGACATCTTTAAGGGCGCCTGCAATTCTTTTCCTTCACAAACACAATGATGAGAAAACAACTTACGTTCAACTTGATCAAACATTACTGAGAACAAGAAATCTCTTGGTGTCATGTAATATTCTCCTTCATATTCCAATGATGCAAAATGCATGAAGCGATACTTCCGAAGAGACAGTCTTTCGTCCCTTTCCCCATTAATGACATCTTCCTTCTGAAACAGAGAAAAAAAATCCATGCAGAAAGATGGTTGCATTTGTAGACCAACTCTGAAATTGGAAAGAATCCTGTACCCGATCTTGATTAACCTCAATGTTTTGTGTAGCCACAAGAAGAGACTACCAGGAATTAAAGCTTTTATTGCACAGTCTTTATGAATGACATGCTTATAGGACACTCAAAGTCTTTTTTGGCTTCACTGAGAGCATGCCTTAACACCACAGCTGGACCAAATGAATGGCTTGGTGTCACCAAAGGCTGCCCTTTTTTCCCATCCCCTGCTTGTGGCCGTATGGTCCTGCACCTCCTCGTTTGCCAGCTCTGCTACTTGTTGGACTCTTGCTCAGCCAAGTTCAGCTAACTCAACAACAAACCTCAGTGACCAAACAGCAAATAGTATCTTGCCAGCTTTGTGACTGGCTCAGCAAAGGTTGAAATGTGCTCTGCATCTGTGCAAATGATCCACTCCTGAAGTTAATTATTGAGTTGTGGAACAACTCCTAAGACGGGAGAATTATGATGCTGTAGTTTAAGTAGAGGCCTATCTTTCAGAGAAGTCAGAAAAACAGGAAAAGCAATGAAAACACCACCAACAGTATCAGAGATTGTGTCACCAAACCCAAAGATTTAACTAGTCAAGCAATCAAAAACCTTCCAACTCTTTGCCCCTTAAATATTCAGAGACATACCAATTGACAACACTCTGATAAGCAGTAACAGGACTTACCGGCAGCAAGAGAGGACACAGAAACAGTGAAACAGAGATGTCTGCATTTTAGGATTTCAGAGATAGTAAGTGACAACAGGAAAACAAGACACTCTAAAATTCAGAACATGCTGTGTGTATTTGAACATTAATCATGGAACAATTTTACCACCAGCAGCGTCACTCAATTTTAGTACTCTTCAAAGATGTCAGGGAAGGAAAAGCAAGAAAATCCAAGGCTAAGTACCAAGATCCCAACTCAAACATACTTGAAACAAGTCTGTAAATAGCAAAATGGATCTGCAGCTAGGTCAGTGCCTGTGGCATTACTCGGTGTGTGATGCAGATGAGTGGGTACAGCCAAGGGTACGGCCTGCTGAGGTGCTGCATCACATCTTCCAGCAAACTATCACTATTCGTTTATGCTGTTTTCAGTTTCTGGATCATTCCTATGGACTGCTTGGCCTTTGAGCAGTCCAGTATAGTGCTGGTGTATGCTGCATTTTGCACATTGGGTTACTCCTGAGGCAGGGCAGTGTAAGCGGCTCCTGGTTACACCCAGACCAGCTGCAGGAGCAGCGAGGGTCTCACCAGTTGACAATAAAACACAGGGTCTGCTGTGCTGAGTGTGTTCATGCGGCAAACTGTGGGACCCAGACAGACAGACAGGATGCGAACAGAGGAGGGGGGAGATCAATGGGAACACCTAGCTTGGTTTTGCTGACGTGAGCAGTGGTTACAGCCATACACAAGGTAACAGGCACCCAGTTGCACAGGGTTTTGTTACAAAAATCAGGAATGTCCACAGATATCTGCAAATAGCGTAGCAGGCAATGTGGCACCTGTGTGCTTGTGTGCACACATCCAGGGAGTGGGCAAGTGAGAAGGGAATGGGACTCTCTGAACCACTTAAAAGCTGTGATCAGATTTCTGACACTTTAGTTTTAACTTGTTATTCCTCCAGGATGGGGACCACTAATTCAGTTTCTGCAGAGTTTGAACAATTGCAGTCAAGCGCTAGCAGTCACGTTTCCTCCACCCAGCTGACAACATGCCAGGACTTTGGTATGAAGTGGCAAAGACAGCAGGGGAGCTAGCTGATACAATGAATGTACAAGCTGTTTTGGGACAACAGCTTCTAGGTCTTGGCCTGCGCTCTGAAGTTAGAATAAAAAAACATTAGGTTTAGTGTCAGGCTTATCAGGTAGAGTGAAAAGATTGAGAACTGCTATTGATATGGGCAGGTCCAAATAACAGGACCCAGTGTGATCTGAGAGTAATGACAAACTCCTTCGATATGAAGCACTCTGGGAACAGGAAGGTGGATGTCAAGCTGTGGCCAATACCCAGCCCATTGAAGAAAGCGTGAAAAAACAGTTCAGTGGACAATGAGACATCAGAGAAGAGCATGGAGCATTTGTTGTGGTTTTACCCCAGCCGGCAGCTGAGCTCCACGCAGCCGCTCGTTCACTTCCCCCCCCCCCCACACGGGCGTGGGGGGGGAG